TTCTGGATCACTTAATATTCTGCCCAAAGCATCCTTGATTACAGCAACTCTAGGTTTGAATCTGTTCTTCAGTTCCTTGAGCTTAAGAAATGCTGAGCAAGTTCGGCCCTTTTGATTTTCTGACTCTAGCTCCTCACACATTTCATTGTAGTATTTTGCTTTGTCATTAAAAGGAATGAATATAACAAATTTTTTTTCCCTGAGTGTAGTTTTGCAAGTTACCAATCATATTATACAATGTTATAGCAGGTATTATGCATAAATACACCAGACACTCAAATTCTTTGATTAGCACAAATATGAGCAATAAGATTATTCACTCATACCATCTTCCCTGGTGGGTAAATTTTCTGTTCAATCCCCTCTCCTTCCCCTATCTTTTTCTTCTAGATATGGCCCATTTTCGAAGATTCTGCAAAGATTATCCAAAGCTCATCTGGATAAAACATATGATTGATGTGATTCTCTAACTTTATTGTTGAATATTTTTAATATAAGTGCTGTGTGTGTACGTTTTCTGGACCAAACTGTGTGAACAGCTTAAAGTTAGGGTCAATGACTCATACATAGATTCTCTAACTTGCCTGATACATGATTTTTTTAAAAAACAGTAAAAATTTAGAACATTTTGCTAGTCTATTAAAATTAAAGGTAACTCAGGTGTCTTAGTGGTAAGAAGTTGTGCTGACATCCCAAAGACATGTGGTTCAAATCCATTAGGTGCTTCATAGGAGAAAGATGAGCAGTCTCCTCTATGTGTTGTACCGCCTCTGAAAACCCACTGGGAGCTCAGCTAGGAGTTTATTCTGATTCAATTGGCACATGTCAAGAAAATGAAAATAATTTATTATCCTGCATTTTAATATTAAATACTGGTATTAAATTTAATTTTATAGAAACATATTTATAGTTTATCTATATATCAATGTGAAGATAAATGGAGTCCACTTGGCTTTTGTTTTATGTCACCTACTGGCTTCTGAAGACTATTTTGCAATTTTTTAAAATAGTTGTCTTTCACTAAATTCATATGGAGGCTTTTAAAAATAATTTTTGCCAGAGATTATGTATCACAGCATGAATAAGCATAATTTAACTCAAGTGGAATGTAAAAACAACTTTACTGTCAACACAAAAGATCGTATCTATCATTGTCTCTGGACAGAACACATTAAAGTTCAGGTATTTCATGTCTACCATCTGTGTTGAACAAGTGTAAGTGTGAAATAAACACCCATGTGTGACTTGGCATTCTAGGTCTGAGATTCCCCAGTTGGTCAAGGCCATCTCTGGTTATCCAAGGAGGTGCTGACATGTGGAATCTATTTTTTTTCTAGAAGAATTATATTCTCACTTTTTTTTTACCCTTTAAGTTTGCTTAAATATTTACAAATTTTCCAACATTCTCTTTAGTAAGATGGGGAATAACTGACTTTCTATGGGGGAAAATATTCTTTAGGAGCTACTTGATTACATACAAGTGGAACAGCAAGATTTTTAGAATGCAATGTTTTCACTTTTTTTCTAGATATATCCAAAATCAATCAAAAGAATAATTTTATTTTACAGCAAGATAATAAGCAAACTTTAAAACTGTATAATGACTGGAATTTTCTGAGTTACCAATGGTCCCATTCATGAAATTATTCAAATAGAAAATTACAAAAACACCAAAATTGAATAGACTTATCTAAATAATCCTGCACTTAACATGTGTGAAAATAGATCTTATTGAAAACATGGACTTCAATCCATTCATTTACAACTGATCTATTAATTGGTCTGCCTGTTTACTAATTGCTAGGATTCAGAAGAGGAAATGACAAAATACAGATAAACTGTGAACTTTTGGTTTGAAAAATAAATCAATCCAGACCCTGCCTTTTTAGTAGTTTCTTTCATAAACTCGTAAACAGTAGCACCCAACAACAATGTTTAACCAGAGAAGTGTGTATATATATGTGTGTCTGTTAGAAGTCATTAAGAAAAGCCACCTTTATACTATTCTGAAGTCTAATTAAACTAGAAATCACACTTGTCAACATTTTCCTTCCTCCAGTGAGTTGTCAAGTTGTTTGTTTGTTTGTTTTAATTTTTGTGTGAGTGTACCATCAAATCAGATCTGACTGGTACAGGAGGAGATTGTCCCTCCTTTTCTCGGCAGAGCATCTGGTGGAGTCAAACCATGTGCCTCTGGGATTGTAGTTGCAGCTCCTTGCCACTAGGCCACCAGAGCTCCCCGTCAAGTTGTTTTTTCTAAAATGCAGTGGTGCTAAGCATGCCACGGTCTAGCTTACTGATATCTAATTTCTGCATTATTTGTTACTGTGTTTCTCAATGAGGCCATCTTACATTGGAATCACATAGCACACTGTTAAAAGAAAATTCTAGGGTCAAGCACAATAAATCAGAGTCCCTGGAGTCAGGTCCAATGTAAGAGAAGAACTCAGGCAATTAAGGATCTACACAGAAGATTTCAAAGGGCAGCTTGGAAAGAAAAAGTAAAATTTCATAGCCAAATGTGCAAAGAGCTGGAGTCAGAAAATCAAATGGGATGAACTCACTTGCCATTCCTCAAGCTAAAGAAACTGAAGAACAAATTCAGGCCTTAAATTGCAATACTTAAAGATACTATGGGCAGAATACAGAATGATCTAGAATGCATCAAAAGAAGGTGGAAAGAGAACGAAGAGTCAGTGTGCCAAAAAGAATTGGCTGACACAGAGAAATTTCATGAAACAACATAGAGGCAATGATGATAGAAGAGGAAATTCAAACTACTTTGAAGAAACGGCAAATAATAAAGCCCCAGGAATTGAAGGAATATCAGTTGACATATTTAAACAAACAGATACA